CGGGATTTATTTGCTTTGCTTTGCGCTCCCTCCTTCCTCTTTTGTGCCTGGGCTTGTTTGTTTTTACCTCTCTCTCTTCCAGTTTTCGCGTTCCCTGTCCCGGGGTGTGGCTCCGCTGCCTGTGGCCCCGCGGGCTCTGTCCCTCTGTCCCTCTGTCCCTCTGTCCCTCTGTCCCTCTGTCTGTCCCCACAGCTGTCCCTCTGCCCCCTCTGTCCCCCTCCTGTCCCCTTCTTGTCCCTCTGTCCGGCTTCGGTCCTCTTTGCCCCCTCCTGTCCCTCGGTCTGGCTCCTGTCCCCCTCCTGACCCTCTGTCCCTCTGTCTCCTCCTGTCCCTCTGTCCCTCTGTCTCCTCCTGTCCCTCTGTCCGTCTGTCTCCTCCTGTCCCTCTGTCCCCTTTGACCCCCTTCTGTCCCCTCAGCCTCCCTCCTGTCCCTCTGTCTCCTCCGTCTCTCTCCAGTCCCTCTGTCCCTCCATCTCCCTCCGGTCCCTCTGTCCAACCTCTGTCCCCCCCAAATGTTCCTCTGTCTGTCTGTCCCTCAGCCTGTCTGTCCTGGCCACTCGGGTCTCTCTGCTGAGGGGGTGGGACAGTCACACGTGGGATGTCACACTCAGTCCCCCGAAGCATCTGTGGGGTCGCACGAGGTCCCCCGGGGGGCGTCACAGGTGGGACGTCACACACAGACCCCAGAGTAGGGTCACACGAGGTCCCTTTTGAGGCGTCACACCCCGATCCCAAAAGGGGGAAGAGCAGTGGTGCCGCCACACCCACGCGTGTGACACACTCGGCGCACGGAGTCCCCAGGCGAGTGCCCCCTGCGCTTCCCAAACGCCACAAGGAGCCAGGACCCCCCTCTTGCCCCCCGCCCCTACGACAGGACACGGGGGGGCACAAACGAGCCGCGACCCCCCCGCCCGTACATGGAGGGGGGGGGAACCCAAAAAGAGGGTGAGGTCCCACCGAGATTCGAACTCGGATCGCTGGATTCAGAGTCCAGAGTGCTCACCATTACACCATGGGACCGCCTCGCGCCGCCCCCTCCGCCCGCCCCAGAGCCCTCCGCGCCGCTCCCTCCGCCACGAAAAAGAGACCCCGCGGTTGTTCCCCCCGGGAGAGGAGGGGGGAAAACGGGGATGGGATCCCCGGGATGCGGCGGGAGCGGAAAAGGAAGAGTCGCCCGAACAGGGACTTGAACCCTGGACCCTCAGATTAAAAGTCTGATGCTCTACCGACTGAGCTATCCGGGCTCCTGCAGGGCGCGGCCGCCGGCGGCACTTTGGGCTGAAATCCCGGAGTTTTGGGCAAAATCCTGGAGGCTCCGGGAGAAATCCCGGAGTTTTGGGCAGAAATCATTCCGGGGGGAATGATTCCTCTGGGATTGTGCCGGGGGAGGGATTTCGGGGCGTGTTGCAAAATACAATTATTTATTATTCTAATAAATAATAATAATAAATAATGTATAGTGAATATCTGATTATATTCGATATTATATATAATTTATAGTATAATATATACTCTAGCACAATACATAACATAATATATAATGTATAGATAAAAGATAACCCTAATATATTTTATATGTTATTTTATTATTATATTTATGATAATAACTAATAGAATAATATAACAGGATATATTTAATATATTATTATATTAGATACTATACATCATTTATAGTTTAATATATACTCTAATACAATATATACTCTAATACAATACATAATATATAATGTATTATAATATATAGAATATAACCCTAATCTATTATAGAATTCCCACTTCCCTTTTTCAAGGTCCAACCCTTTTGGAAAATGCAAATCAGGACTTTCAGGGGCCATAAAAATATAAAATCTGGGGACAAAGTTCTTCCCGACCCGACTCCAGAGGAACCTTCTGGTCCTTCCTGCTCCGGTAAGAAATTCCTGGTTGGAAAAATCCATGAATTCACTTCTAGAAATTGATTCATCTGGAATAAGTTGATTTTTTTATTGGGAGTAAATTGATATTTTTTAACTGGAATAAATTGATTTTTTAAGTGGAATAAATGGAATAAAATAAAACACTCGGGACCTTCTTTTCCTTGAGAACCCCAATCCCTCCATCCATAAATTCCCAGATATTTTTCCCTGTTATTTCATCCCTCGATTCTCTTGTTGTTTTCCGTGGAATGTGTGCAGGGGCCGAAGGAATTCCGGGAGATTCCGGGACATCGATGGATTCCGGGGTCTGGTGGTTGACGTTGCTCCCAGTCCTGACATTCCAGCACGGATCCCACCTGGCCACAGGTGAAGACAATTCCATTTGGGATATATTTGGGATGTATTTCTGTAAAACACCCGATTTCTGCTGAAATTCCTTCAAAAACCTTGGAAAAGCTTCTTTATCCAGAGGGTGATCGAGGCTGGAAGAGGCTCCCCAGGGAATCGGTTTCCCCCCCATTTTTCCATGATTTTTCCAACCAAAATGATCCAAGGTTCGAAACACTGCAGGATAAATCCAGGAATGTCAAATCCCACGAGTGTTCTGTGTTGTCTTCCCAGTTCTCCTCCGGATTCCTCTCCCGCTGACGTGGTTCTGTTTGCTGCCCAACGTAATTCCATGAAAACCCGACGCGGATAACCGGGAACAAACCCCCATTTTGTCCCGAAACAGGTCGGTCTGTGAGTTCTCCCGGAATTCCCGTCGTCGGGATCATCGGGGAGCGGGTTGTCCTGCCCTGCCGGGTGACCCAGGACCCCATTCCCGAGGTTTTCTCCGTCCGCTGGGAATTCCACGACGGTCCCCGAAGGATCCCCGTGGGCAGTTTCGATGGGAAGAGCCGAGAGGAGGAGTGGGATGGGAGGTTCCGGGGCCGGGTGGAGTTTTTCCCCAGGGAATTCTGGGCCGGGAATGTGTCCCTGGGATTGAGGAACGTCGGGATCTCTGACCAGGGGTCCTACACCTGCCACGTGTCAGCCCAGGACGTGTCCCGGGAGGTGTCAGTGGAGCTGGAAGTGGCAGGTGGGAATTCTGGGATCCTTTTATTCCTTTTCAAAAAAAAAAAATGGGGCAAAATTTTAATGGTTATTTTATTTTGGTGCATTTTTATGCATTTGAAATAAATTTTTATATTTTATATTTTTATGTTCTATGGTTTTTATTTTTTATATTTGATATTTTTGTGTTGTATATTTTTTCTATAAATATGATGTCGTAGATATATAATACATAATATATAAATACATAGTGTACAATATACACTTTATAACTATATAATGTATAAATATATAATATTGTACTTTTAATTCCCACATTTTCCCAAATCCTGGCAAATCCCACTCCCGACTTCCTCCTAAACCAACCTCCCCCCTCCCTCTCCCAGATTCTCCCTGGAATCCCTCATTCCCTTGGAATCCCTTGCATTCCTTCCCCTTTAATTCCCTCCCATCCCTCGTTAAATCCAGGGAAAAAACCTTCCAACACCTTCAAACCCTTAAAACCCTTTTCCAAGGAAAACCAACTCCCCCAAAACCCCAATTTCCCGCTGTTTGGAATGGAAACCCCCCCGTTTTTTCGCAGCCATCGGCGACATTCCCACCATTGTCGTGAGGTCCCGGAAAAGGGACCTCAGCCTCTCCTGCCGAGCCTCCGGCTGGTTCCCGAATCCTGAAATTCTTTGGCTGGACGGCCAAGGAAAGGTCCGGAAGGGATTTCCCAGCCCCAGGACGACGCCGGAGCCGTCGGGGTTGTTCCGTGTCGACGCTTCCCTGACCCTCCCGCCCGGGTCCGACCTGGAAGTTTCCTGCAGGATCATCAACCCCCGGCTCAACGTCACCAGGGAATCCCGGATCCGCATCTCAGGTGGGTCTGGAATCACCCCTGGCATCGGCTCCGTTCCCGGGATCCGTGCTGGGAGAAATCCCCTGGTCCCCCTGGTACGATATTTGCTCCCTAAATCGACAGTGGAATGTTTAATCCTTAATTTAACCCTAATATTTAATAATTTAATTTATACTTAATATTTAATAATTAATATGCAACCCTCGAGTCCAAAATAAAACTCTCTAATTATTAATAGACTTTGAAAATCATTAATATAAAATAATTGATGGAGTGTCGCTCCTTTTCCCAGATATTTTCCTCCCTTCCATCTCCTCCTGGCTGAGCGGTTTCCTGGTGCTTTTGGGCTTCAACCTGCTCCTGATTTCCACTCTGTTTTGCCTCCTGAGGAGTAAGTGTTGGGAAAATCCCGGGGGAAAAAATCCCCTGGAATAAAAATAATTCCTGAGGGGAATGTGGGTAAAATAAAAACAGCAAAAAAATCAAATTAAAAAATTAACGGAGTGACCAAATTCTGGAATTGGAGCCCAAAAAAGGTGGGGAATTCCTGACTCTGTGTCCCAGAATTCCTTGGGAAATCAACCCAAGGGTATTCCTGATGGGATTAAATCCCAGATGATGACTTGGAGCTCTTTTCTGTGCAAAAAAACATGGAATAAAAAGGCTTTTTTCCCCCTTTTTTTAACCAGGGAGCCACAGGAAAAATGCCAGTGCAGGTGAGTGATGAGGAATTAAGGTGAATTATTTATATTAATTATATTAATTATATTATTTGTATTTATTATGGCTATTTTGGATGAATTTCCCTTGTTTTTCAGTGAAAGTGAAGATGGAAAGGGAAGAAGGTAAAAAATCCCTCAGGAAACGGGAAATGTCCCATGTCAAATATTAGGAAAGTTCCCAAATTGGGAATTTTGGGAACCAAAATTCCGTGTCCTCTCTTTTCCAGAAAAAAAGAAGGTGAAGTCACTGTTGGGTAAGAGATTCCCTTTTCCTTTCCCTTCGCTCCCCAAACTTTCCCTTTTCCCTTTTCCCCCTTTTCCCTTTCCCCTCCCCTCTAACTCTGGGAGAGGCACCTACAGAACAACATTAATAATAGATATTAACAAATATTAACAATATCTATTATTAAATATTAACGTTATTCCCAATTATTCCCTTGATTCCACATCCGGAATCTCCAGATGGAGAGAAAGCCAAGAAAAGAGCAGGTAAATCCCATTCCCATAAAATATTCCCTGGGAAAACAATCCTCGGTTTAATCAAGTTCATCTTAATTAAAAGTGATTAATTAACCCCTGATCCAGCCACAGCTTTTTCCTCTTCCTTGCAATTTCATGGAATCACTTTGGCAGGAAAAGACTCTGGAATCCCAGCCCAAATCTTCCACCAAATTCCACTGGGACTTTTTACGGGATCAAAACTTTTTCTTCTCCTTCCTCTTTTCACCTTTTTAGCAAAAACCTGCAATTCCCTCAATCCTGGAATTTAACAGAATTCCCAGAAGGAATAACTGGCGTAATTCCAATGTTTTTCCCATGGATATTTTCCTTTTTATTCCCCTGGAATTTTCCCCTCCCTCAATTTCTGCTCAATTTTTTTTTTTTTCCAGCCAAGATCCACTTCAAGAAACGCTTTGGTAAGGGAATGGATTTGCATAAATTTGCATAAATTTACATAACAATGTGCCTCTGGGTCATCTTTAGAAACAACAGGATGAGAATTCCTGTTAATATCCATGTTTTCCCTGGATTTATAGTTAATGAATGCAGTGAAATATCAATTTATGGGGAGGAATATCCTTGTTTTCCACTCCCAGGAGTTGTTCCCATTGGGAAAGCTGGGAGAAATTGAGGAAAGAATGGAAAAAATGGGAAAAACTGGAAAAAAATTGGGAAAACTGGGAAAAATCGGAAATCCAAACAAAAATGCCTGGAATATTTTTTCTTTGCAGGTCGACTGAAGGCAGAGCTGGGTGAGTAAAAAACTTGGGATTGTGGAAATTCCTGGGATTGGGGGTTAATTGCAATTTTTGGGAGATCCAAAGGGTTTTCCCAGTCCAGGGAGGATCAAATTCCACCAAAAAACCTGGAATTCAGTGATGTCTGTTGTTTTTCCATAGATTTCTGGGAAGCCCGGAGCCACGCAGGTGAGCTGGAAAAATGGGAATGTGCCTTGGATGGCAGGAATGGAGAAGGGATGGGGATGTTGGGAATGGTGGGAAAAGGGAGTCTTGGAAGGTGTCCAAGGCCGGGATGGGATCAGGATGCAATTCCCGAGAGGATGGATGGGAAAAGGGAGAGGGATTTGTGTCCTGGGAAATCCTAGGATGGGAGAGATCCGGGGAGGGGCCTTGGGGGCCTTTCCAACCTCAGCCACTCAGGGATCCAGGGATTTGGGAATTCTGGGATTTGAGGATTCTGGGATTCAGGGACTTGGGAATTCAGGGATTCACGGATTCCCTGGCTTCTCCTCCTGCTTTCCCGCAGTTCCCGTGGCCTGGAATGCCCTGGAGCGGATCCTGGAGCTCCCGAGCGGGGAGGGTGACGCGTCCGCTCCCACATTCCCGGTGCGCGTGGGGCGGGAAGGCTTTGGAAGCGGGAAGCACTACTGGGAGCTGGAGCTGGGCCGGGAGCAGGACTGGGCGCTGGGAGTGCTGCGGGAGAACGCGGGATGCGAGGCCCGGCCCATTCCCAGCCAGGATTCCTGGGCTCTGCGCCGATCCCAGGGAGAGCTTTTCTCCAGCGCCGGAGCCCGTGGGCTCGGGAAGCTCCGCTGGAGCGGCTCCGCCCTCGGCGTCTTCCTGGACCTGGATTGGGAATGCCTGGAATTCTACGACGTGGAGACTGCGGAGCTCCTGGAGAGGCTGGGTCTGAGCACCACAGGGAATTCCCAGGGAATGTTCTTCCCGTTTGTGTCCCAGGGGGAAGGGATCAGGATCCGCCCGGTGCCGATCCCGGTCCCACTAAAGGGACTTTGAGCAGGGATTGGGGAAAGGGGGGAGAAAATGATGGAAATGGGAATGAGAAGGAACGTGAAGGTGTGGGAGGGAAAAAAGAGGGAAAGGAGGGGGCAAGGGACTGGTTTTCCCTGGAAAAAACACCCATTTGGGACTGTTTTTCCCTGGAAAAAAACCATCTGGGACTGGTTTTTCCTGGGAAAAAAAAGAAATGGAATAAAAGGTTTTTGAAGGGAAATGTTGTTTTGGGAATTCTTAGGACGTTTGGGCCCCTTGGGGAATTCCTGGCAGGAAAAGGATGGGAAGGAGAGGTTATTTGGTCCCCAAATGTGCTGGAATTTGGGTGGGAAGAGCCTGGAGCAGGAGCTTGATCCCGACTCCATCAGGTGGAACGAACAAGGGGGGTGGGAGTTCCCTTGGATGCAATTCCCAGCAGAATCTCTGGATCTGGGATTCCCTTGGGAATTTGGGGATTTCCTGTTTTCCATCCTCTTCTCCAGAGGAGAAAATAATTAGGATAGGAAACAGAAAAAAAATTGGAAAACTTTAATTTCTAATTTAATTTATTATTTAAGAAATTATTTTACATTATGATCCCCTCTACAAATTTATTAATTATCACCAATTATAAATATGATAATCGATTGATATTTAAATAATTTATTATTTTAATTATTAACCCCCCACGGAGCGAATTCCCAACCCCTTTCCATCGGAGCCGGGGCTGAAAAATGGGAAGAGATTCCCAGAAAACCTCAAGGGAAGCGATGCCAGGAGACTCTTCCCTTCCACATCGAAGAAGGAGAGGCTGTGGGATTCCTGATCCAGGAAAACCCCGAGCACTGGGCAGGGCCCGGAATTCCAGCCCCCGGGAATGCTGAATTCCCCCCGGGAATAGCCGAGGCTGAGAACCTGCTCCTGCTCCCGTGGCAGCGCCATCCCGTCGTTCCGCAGGGAATCCCGGATTTCCTCAGCCAGCACCCCCAGCTCCCAGCCGGATCCATCCCCGACTTCCACTTCCCAGTAGTGCTTCCCTTGGGAAAAGGATTCCTTGGCCAGGACGACGGGTTTGGGGTGGAGCTGCTCGGCAGCGGAGCAGGAAACGACCCGGGATTGGTCCCGGAGGGAGAGTTCGGGATGTTTGCAGAGCTCATCCAGGGTCAGCGGGACTGGGAAAGGGGGAAAGCCGAGGATTTACAGGGAATTAGGGAAAAGTAGTTATGGAAAGTGATAGGAAATGGGAGAAAATGATATAAAATTTGGGGGGTTGTGGATAATTTAATGCGAAAATGGAGGAGGAGAAGGAGAGGAAGAGGAGGAAGAGGAGGAAGAGGAAGGGGAAGGGGAAGGGGAAGGCCCTGACTCACCCGCATAGCTCTGGGCACGTCTGAAATCTGCAGGGAAATGAACGACTAATTAATGCTAATTAATTAATTACCGCGGCAGCAGCTCATTTGCATGATTTTTGCATAATCGGGGGCAGAGTTTGAGAATTTGGGGGTTGGGGCCAACTCACCCAGTTGGGCCTGGATTTGTTCTGGAAGGAGAGAAATTCCGTCACCGTCCTGCTGGAAAAGGGGCACCTGGGCCGGGTGGGGCACCTGTGACACCTGAGCCAGGTGTGTCACCTGTCACCTGTGACACCTGTCCCAGGTGTGTCACCTGTCACCTGTGACAACTGAACCAGGTGTGTCACCCATGTCACCTGTCCCAGGTGTGTCACCTGTCACCTGTGACACCTGAGCCAGGTGTGTCACCCATGTCACCTGTCCCAGGTGTGTCACCTGTCACCTGTGACACCTGTCCCAGGTGTGTCACCTGTCACCTGTGACACCTGAGCCAGGTGTGTCACCTGTCACCCATGTCATCTGTCCCAGGTGTGTCACCAGCCCCAGCCCTCCAAGTGGCCCCAATGTTCCCCCAAAGTGCTTTTTTTTCCAGAGCCCCAAAACCCCAAAATTCCCGAATTTCCCCAAGCTGCGGAATTTTCTCACCGATTTTTGTTGTCATCTCCTGGTTTTCTACAAGGAAAGAAAAGGAAATCAGGATTTGGGAAGGGGAAAGGAGGGGAATTCTGGGAATTTGGGGATGGAAAGGTTAAAAGATATAGAAATATATTTTAAATTATGTGCAATACATAAAAAAATACACAAAATCATATTTAATATATTAAAATGTATTAAAATAGATTATATTTTAAGTACAATATAAAAATATATTTAAAATATTCTATAATACATCTAAAATACATGAAAATATATATTTTATATTTAGTGACTTGATATAAAATATATTATTAATAATTAATATTAATAAATATAATCATTAATAACCATAAATTAATTATTAATTATTAATAATTACAAAATCAATAATTACTGCTAACAGGATTAATAAATTAATAATAATATAATTTATATTCTTAAATAATTGAAATAATTATAATTCTACCTATGATACATATTATTATATAAAATGTGATTAATTCTGGAGGAATAATCCAGGATTTTTTACCCTTCTGGAATTTTTCCTGCACTTCCTCTGGAAAACAAAGGGAGAAAATGAGGAAAAGGGAGGGAAATTCAGGACACCACCCCCCCCTCCAAGTCTATGAAATCATCAGAATGACTCTAACAAATAATCTCAGTCTAACAAACCCTCAGTCCCGAGCTCAGCCCTTACCCAGCTCCATCTTGAATTCCTCGATGTCTGAAAGGAATCGGGTTCAAATATTAAAAATCACATTTTATTCCCTTTTTTACCCCCTTTTCCCCCAAAATACACCGAATTTTTCCCATTTTTCCGACAATTTCACCAGGTTTTTTTTAACAGTCACTGATTTCCCGGGTTCAGGTTAATTTTAATTTGATTTTTTCGCTGGATTTGATTCATTTTTTTTAAAATTTGTTAAAGAAATTTGAAGACAGAAATCGTCGAGAAAAAAATCACTTTTTTTTTCCACTCACCCTCCTGAATTTGCTTCTGGGCATTTTCTGGGAAAAGAGGAACATTTTAGAGCACAAAAAAAAAATTTTTTAAATTAATTTAAAAGTTTAATTATAAATTTAATTAATTAATTTAAAAATCAGTTTTAAGGACTGTTTTCTGCTTCTCTTTTTTGTATTTATTTATTTTCATGTTTTATTTATATTTTTAGAAGCCTGAGGTTTAATTTAATTAATTAGTTAAATGAATGGTTTGACTCACTTTCCTGATCCGTCGCCTTTTGGTTGACTGTGGGAAAACAGGGAAAGGGGAATGTTGGTTAACTCAGGATTATTCCAAGGAAGGTTTTCCTGGGAAGGGGAAAAAGGGGGGGAAAAGGGGAAAAAAGAGGAAAATGGGAAAAGGGAAAAAAGGGGGGAAAGGGAAAGAAAGGATAGAAAGGGTACAGGGGAAAAGGGAAAGGGAAGGAAATGAAGGAACTTACTCCGGAGTTTATAAACAGCTGCCAGGACCAGGAATATTCCAAAGAGCAGGATCATCACAAAAGCCGGGAGCCAAAGGGAGATGGTCGGGAAGAAACTCTCTGGAAAACAATCCAGGGGCTCCGTTATATGAGATTTTGGGGACACACCTGGAGTGGAAGGAATTTGGATCCCCAAACCTGGAATTTTGCATCCCTAGACCGGGAATTGATTGATTATCCCACTAAAAATTGGGATTCCTGGGAAAAGCGGCACCAGATCCCTGTTTTCCCCCCTCACCTGTGATGATGACGGAGGATTCCGTGGATGTTTTCCCGAGGCTGTCAATGATCCTGCAGGACACGGCGTTCCCAGATCCCGGTTTGAGGACGATGGAGCTCCCGGCATTCCCAGATGTGTCCGTGCTCAGGGGATTCCCGGTGATATTCCTGCCTTTCCCATCCATCCACAACACCTTGACTTCGGAAAAGAGCCGCTCCGAGAGGCACTTGAGACGGATTCCGGAGTCTTCCAATCCATCCAGGATGAGCAGTGGGTCATGGATGCTCCCTGTGGATGAGCAGGACACAGGAGCTCAAGGCAGCTGGAATTATTGGGATGAAGATTCTGGGTCCTTCACACCAGGTGGGAATAAAACAAAATGAGCCAAGGAATTTATTGGGAGACAAAAATTCCCCCCCCCCCAAAATCCAAAAATTAACTTCCCTGAGTTCCCCGATGGAATAATTTGGAAGCTCAAATCCCAAAGAATTCCAGAAGCTCTCCTGGGGAGCCTCAGGGTCTTTTCCAAGCTCAACAAATCCATGAAATCCCATAAAATTACCCGTTGTGGGGTGGAGTCCGGAGAACGCGATGAGGGGGATCATCCGGATCCAGGGCCCCATTTCTGTGGGGAAAGTTAAAATTCCAGGTGGGAATGGGAAATCCATGGGATTGGGTCCTGCTCCTGAGTTCTGGAGCAGCTGGGTCTACTCCAACAAACTGTTCCTGGTTTTTGGAAGTTGTTCTGTGGGTTCCTTTCCTGGATTATAGGGAATGGAAAAGGGAAAAAAGGGGGAAAGGGAGAAAAATGGGAAAGGGAGAAAAAAAGGGGGGAAAAGGAAAAGGAGGGGAAAAAAGGGAAAACAGGGAAAACTCCTGGGAGTTCCCTTTTTGCAGGGCGTCCTTTTCCTCAGCAGCAATTCCCAGGAAAACGAGGCCATTCTGGAAACTTTGGGGTTTTTTTATCTACAGGGGTTTTTTTGATTTTTTTCCCATTTTGGCCCTTTTTCAACCCCTCCCCCAAAACATCACGGTGCCAAAATTCCTTTTGGTTTCCCGAGGGAATAAAAGAAAATTCCCAAATATTTCAGGGCAAATCCCAAAATGCTGAAAAAGCAATGCAAGGGAAGAGAAAGTGACAGAAATTCCGTGGGAAAAGAAGGAAGAGGAAAAACTTGGGAGCGCCGGGAATTATAAATAAACAGAAAGCGGGAATTTATGGGAAATACAAAATGGAAATGGGATAAAATTCCCTGAAAAAGGTGGGAAATCGCGTGGAAAAACGAAAAACCAACCCGGTTTTCCAGCAGCACCCGCAGGATCTCCAGGAAATCCCTTGGGATTGAAACCTGTCAGAGGCTGTGGAGGCTCCTGGGACCTTTGGAGCCAAAAAGGGCGGAAATTCCAACGGTAAAACGGTTCCTGGTTTTCCAAAGGTCACCAGGGAGGAGAGTGGGAGGGAACAGAAGAGGGAATGGGCGGGAATTTGTGGGATTTGGGGTGAAATCCCCCTGGATGAGGAAAAAGAAGCGTAAAGGGACCTTCGGAGAGTGACAGTTTTCTGGGATTCAGAGGAGTACAGCCCAGTTCAGACCAGTACAGCCCAGTACGCTCCCAGTGCGTCCCAGTGCCTTCCCAGCGCCATCCCAGTCCCTCCCAGCAGGGCCCAGCGCCTTCTCAGTACACCCCAGTACGGTCCAGTGACCCCCAGTCCCTCCCAATCCCGCCCAGTCCCTCCCAGTCTCCCCCAGTCCCTCCCAGTCTCCCCCAGTCCCGCCCAGTCCCTCCCAGTTCCTCCCAGTTCCCTCCCAGTCCCGCCCCAGGACCCGTCCCCCGGAAGTGACGTCACTGCGCGCGAGCGCGGCCGGAAGTGGCTCCGGGGGCGGCGGCGGCGCCGGGTCAGAAACTGGGAGAGACTGGGATGGACTGGGAGGGGATTGGGGGGGAGTGGGAGGGACTGAGAGAGACTGGGAGGGGATTGGAGGGGACTGGGAGAGACTGGGAGGGGATTGGGAGAAACTGGGACAGGACTGGAGTATACTGGGAGAGGACTGGGGGGGACTGGCAGGGGACTGGGACAAACTGGCAGGGGCCTCAGCTCAGGAGGTCCCCAAACCCCGCTCAGGGTATCCCTAAACCCAGCCTGGGAGGTCCCCAAGCCCGACCTAGAGGGTTCCCAAAAGGATCCCCAAACCCAGCTCTGGGGGTCCCTAAGCCCGACTCTGGGGGTCCCTAAGCCCAGCTCAGGGGAATCCCAGGCCCATCCCCTCCCCTGTGTCTCCTCTCACCCTCTCACCTGTCCCGGGTTTCAGGTGTGGCCATGGAGGGGTTGCAGGGGAGGGGCCACGAACCCCAGTTTTCCCGACGGATCCTGGAGGAGCCTCCAGGGGAGGAGGAAGAACCAGGTGAGGAAGAACTTGGTGAAGAACCAGGTGAGGAAGAGGAACCAGGGGAGGAGGAACCAGGTGAGGAGGAAGAACCAGCTGAGAAGGAAGAACTTGGTGAAGAACCAGGTGAGGAGGAAGAACTTGGTGAGGAAGAACCTGATGATGAACCAGGTGAGGAGGAACCAGGTGAGGAAGAAATTGAAGAACCAGCTGATGAAGAACCTGGTGAGGAAGAGCTTGATGAGGATCCAGGTGATGAAGAACCAGGTGAGGAAGAAGAAGAACCAGGTGATGAAGGCCAGGAGACCACTCAGGTGGCACCAGGAGGAGCCTCCTGCGCCCAGGTGAGGCCTCCAGGTGAGGCCTCAGCCCCTCCCCTGCGCCGGCGGAAGCCTCGCCTATACCTGAACCCCCGTCGGCCCCGCCCCAGCCAGGAACACCTGGAGAGCCCTGAGGAACCTGGACCTTCCCACAGGAACCACCTGCAGGTGCTGTGGGGTCGCCCGGGTGAGCTGGGCCACCAGGTGAGCCCAGGTGAGCTGGGCCACGCAGGTGAGCTGAGCCCAGACGAGCTGGGCCACGCAAGTGAGCTGGGCCCAGGTGAGCTGATCCCAGGTGAGCTGGGCCCAGGTGAGCTGAGCCCAGGTGAGCCCAGCCAGGCCTTCGTGCAGCTCATCGACGAGCGCGGCGTCTACTCCACGGCCAAGCTGGTGCTGGGCGGGCGCGGCGGCGCCGGTGCCGTGAGCCCCGCGGGCGAGGCGGAGTGGGCGGATCCGCCGGGCGAGGCGCCGGCGCCGCTGGAGATCCGGCGGGTGATCGTGGCCGAGAAGCCCTTCCAGTGCCCCGTGTGCCACAAGGGCTTCAAGCGGGCGTGGGAGCTGCTGAGCCACGAGGTCGTGCACACCGAGGCACGGCCCTTCACCTGCCAGGCGTGCGGGGCCACCTTCAAGCGCCACTCGGACTTCAAGAGCCATGGGCTGGTGCACACCGAGGAGCGGCCGCACCGCTGCGACCTGTGCGGCAAGCGCTTCAAGCGCTCCTCCAACCTGCAGGAGCACCGGCGCATCCACAGCGGGGAGCGCCCCTTCGCCTGCCCGCGCTGCCCCAAGGGCTTCAAGACGCCCTACGAGCGCCAGCGGCACGCCCTGACGCACCTGGGTGCCGACAAGCCCTTCCGCTGCGGCGACTGCGGCAAGGAGCTGGCGACGGGCGCGGCGCTGCAGCTGCACCGGCGGCAGCACTGCGAGGACAAGCCTCACGCCTGCGGCGTCTGCGGCAAGAGGTTCACCTACGGGCACTCGCTGAAGGTGCACGAGCGGGTGCACACCGGGGACCGGCCCTTCACCTGCGGCCTCTGCGGCAAGGGCTTCAAGCAGAGCAACGCGCTGGCGTCGCACGAGCGGGTGCACACGGGCGAGCGGCCCTTCGCCTGCCGCACCTGCGGCAAGGCCTTCAAGCAGTCGTCCTACCTGGCCATCCACCAGCGCGCGCACACGGGCGAGCGGCCCTACGGCTGCGAGGCCTGCGGCAAGGCCTTCGCCCGGCCCTCGCTGCTGCTGCAGCACCGGCGCGTGCACAGCCAGGCCCGGCCCTACGAGTGCAGCTTCTGCCACAAGTTCTTCAAGGACCTCGCCTACCTGGGCGTGCACGAGAAGGTGCACACGGGGGAGACGCCCTACAAGTGCGGGGTGTGCGCCAAGGGCTTCGCACACCCCTCCAACCTGCTGCAGCACCAGCGCGTGCACAGGGACACCTGAGCGCCGGGGCGGGGTGGCCAGGGCGGGTGTGCGCCCCAAAAACCCGGTGCGGACCCCAAAAAGCTGATGGACCTGTGTCAGGACACCTGAGAGACAGGTGAAGGGAGCCAGGAGAGGTGTGCACCCTGAGAACCTTCAGCAGCAACACCTGAACTGTGACACCCAAGCCCCAGGTGAGCGGACCCTGGACCTGCACACCTGGACAGGTGTGGTCCCCAAAACCTGCAGCACCTGAACCACGACACCTGAGCTGTGACATCAGTGGCACTGGACATGCCCCCAGGACCTGTGGGACCCCTGACACACCTGAGGCCAGGTGTGCACACCTCACCTGAGCCCTCACCTGGATTTTTGGGGTGGAACAGCCACACCTGGTGCCCCAGGTGCACCTGGGACTGGGCAGGTGCTCACCTGGATCCTCCTTCCCAGATTCCTTGATCCTGGATTTGTCCCCCTTTGGATGGGACAGCTCACCTGTAGGCACCTAAGTCTCACCTGTGGGCACTTGAGGCTCACCTGAGTCTCACCTGTGGACACCTGGGACTCACCTGTCCCACCTGGGTGGTACCTGTAGTGCTGGGGGTGGGGTCTGGGTGCACCTGGGTGGGGCATATGCTAATTAAATGATGGTTAATTAATGACATCATTGGTGTTCTCACCTGATTTCACACCTGGAGGGTTTGGGGACCCCCCAAAATTCACACCTGGAGGATCAATCCCCCCTCCCCCCCAGAATTCACACCTGTCTCATCTGGATGGCTGAAACCCCCAATTTTATTAATTTCCACCCCATTTTCCCACTTTTTTTGTCCCCTTCCATCTGCCCCAAGTGTGTGGGGACACCTGAGCCACCCAGGTGTGTTTGGGGGGGGGGCAGGTGAGAGGTGACAGGTGAGGTCAGGGGCCGTCGTCCTTGATGAGCTGCAGCGTCTCCACCTCCTCAGGGGGGACCCTCCTGGGCAGGTAAATGGCCCCCAGGTGACCTGTGGGGGGAGGGGACACACCTGGTGACACCTGGGGAACACCTAGGATACACCTGGGGATACCTGGGACACACCTGGAGATAGCTGGGACACACTTCAGGGTGGCGGGACTCACCTTTACCTGGGGCTTCTCCCACACACCTGGTCCTCAAGGTGAGCCAGAGCAGTACCCCACTGAGTGACGTCAGCAGCCCCAGCAGGGCCACCAGGGGTGCACAGGTGGGGGGCACACCTGGTGGGGAGGGGACAGGTGAGAATCCCCCAAACCTAGCCTTACGTGCACCACGTGTAGGAGGGGTTAATTAGGTGAGAGGGGAAGGGGGGGTTGGAGCATTCAACTTCAGTTACCTGTGCAGGTGAGTCACCTGTCCCACCCCTACCTGTCACACCTGTCCTGGCTCCACCCTTCTCACCTATCCCACCTGTCCTACCTCTTCACACCTGTCCCAGCTCTACCTGTCACACCCATCCCCCCACCTTGACACCTCCCTCCCCTCCCTGTGCCTCACCTTTGGGCATGGTGCACATGACGCCTGCGGCCCCACCTGCGTGGCAGGTGCCCGGCCTTGCCCCCTCCCTCAGGCACTCCAGGAGCAGCGTCTCAGAGCCCCGACAGGTGAGACCCTCCAGCGCCGCCCCCGGGGCCAGGTGAGCGCCGACAGGTGCGCTGAGGGCGGGGCCGCAACCCAACTCCTTGCACACCACCTGTGCCTCCAGCAGGCTCCAGGTGCGGCCGCACACACCCAGCCAGGTTTGGTTGTGCAGCACCTGCACCTGCCCCGCACAGGGCCCGGGGCCATCCCGCAGCCGCACCTGCAGGGGGGTGGGACCTGCGAGGGAGGGGCACACACCTGAGCACACCTGGGCACACCTACAGCCCCCTGCCTGTGTTACCTGAGCACACCTGCCCCTCCCCAGCCCCACCTGAGCCCCCTCCCCACGCCCCGCCCCTCACCTGTGCACACCACGCTTGCGTCCTCCTCGTGGTTGCAGTTGTGGACCCCCCAGGGGCCCTTGTCGCACTCTTCCAAGGTGTTCTCTTCACCTGTGCAGCCCACCTGGTCCAGCAGGACGGGCCCCGCTCCTTCCCCGAAGTGGGCGTGGCCGGGGGCGGCCACGGCGTCCCCACAGCCCAGCTGGCGACAGGTGACCCGCGCGTCCCGCAGGTCCCAGGTGTCGTCGCAGACCGTGCCCCACCTGTGCTCGTGCAGCACCTCCACCCGCCCCGCACAGGGGGTGGGGCCGCCCACCAGGCGCACCTGGAACTGCTCCTCCGTCACGTTGGCACCTGGGCAGGTAACGGGAGGGTGAGGGGAAAGGTGAGGTGGGCAGGGGGTTATCTGAGGGGGATGAGGTGGGGTGGGAGGGTGGGGTTGATGTGGAGGTTACCTGAGCCCACCTGAGCTCACCTGAGCACACCACACCCGCGTCCTCGCCGTGGTGGCAGTTGTTGTTCCCCCAGGGCTGGGCGCGGCACTGCGCCAGGTGCGTCTCGTCCCCCGCGCAGGTGATGTCATCCAGCCAGATGGGCCCCACCCCCTGCCCGAAATGGGCGTGGCCATGGGCAGCCCGGGCCTCCCCGCAGCCTACCTGGCGACAGACCACCTGGGAACGCCCAGGGACTCTCCTGAGTGTCACCCAGGACACCTGGGCACACCCAGGACACACCTGAGCCCCCCCAGACTCACCTGGGCCTCCTTCAGGTCCCAGCTGTCGTCGCAGACCGTCCCCCATTGGCCGTCGTGGAGCACCTCGACACGCCCCATGCACAGGTGAGGCCCGTCCACCAACCTCACCTCACCCGAGCTGGAGTTACCTGCTGGGGGGGCACCTGCACAGGTGGGAAGGGGGGTTAGAGGGGACCTGCACACATCTGGATGCTTGTTCTACCTTCCCCTTCCAGCACAGGTGAGGGCACCTGTTGCAGGTGGAGACACCTGGGGGGTCACCTGGGGGTCACCTGGGAGGGTTACCTGAGCACACGACCCCAGCGTGGTCCAGGTGGTCGCAGGTGTGCTGCCCCCAGGTGCTGCCCGGGCACTGGGCGATGGTGGTTTCGTTGCCGACGCACCTGAACCCGTCCAGCCAGGTGGGACCGGGCCCCACCCCAAAACGGGCGGCTCCAGGTGTGCTGAGGGCGTGGCCACAGCCCAGGTGACGGCAGACCACCTGGGCAGCCGCCAGGTCCCAGGTGTGGCCGCAGACGGTGCCCCAGGTGTGGTTGTGGAGAACCTCGACGCGCCCCGAGCAGCGGTGGGGGCCGTCAGCCAGGCGGAGCTCACCTGGCTCACCTGAGCTTCCAGGCTCACCGGAGCGCCCCTGGGTCACACCTGGAAAACAGGAGACACGGCCAGGTGTGGGTACCTGGCCAGGTGTGCTTACCTGGCCAATGGTGTCCCCTCCCAAGGTGTTCACCTGCCTCTGTGGTTACCTGGTGGTTTTGGGGTGCCGGGCGGTGTTTTTGGGGTCCCCAAGGGTGTTTTTAGGGTGCCAGGGGGTCTCTGGGGGAGTCACTGGGGTGGTTTGGGGACATTGGAGGGTCTCTGGTGGGTTTTGGGGGGGTCATGGGGACACTGGGGGACATTAGAGGGTCTCTGGGGATTTGGGGGTTCTTTGTGGGGTAACCTGAGCCCAGAGAGGGTCTCTGGGGGAAGTGTTTGTGGCACCCTCCAAACTCACCTGTACAGGTGACGTGGGCGTGTCCTCCATGGCCGCAGGTGCGGGGCCCCCCCCAGCCTTTCACCTGGCACTCCAGGAGGGCCCCCTCGTCCCCCCGGCAGGTAACAGCCTCCAGCCAGGTGAGCTCGCCCTCGCCTGGCCTCACCTGGTCGACGCCCGCTGCCCCCCCACAGCCCACCTGGGCGCAGACCACCTGGGCGGCCGCCAGGTGCCAGGAGTGGGCGCAGATCCCACCCCAGCGCCCGGCGTGGAGCACCTGCACCCTCCCCGAGCACCTGTCGGCACCATCGGCCAAGCGCAGGTGGGTCAGGTCAGCCAGGTGAGAGCCTGCAGGTGAGGGGACACACACCTGGTCAGGTGAGGGGGGTTTGGGGCACCTGCTGCTCACCTGCGCACACCTGAGCCCACCTGCCCCTCCCATGCAGCTCACCTGCGCACACCACGCTGGCATCCTCGTTGTGCTCGCAGCCGTGGATGCCCCAGCTCTTGTGGCGACACTCGCCCAGGTGCCCCTCGTGGCCCTGGCAGGTGAGCCCGTCCAGCCAGATGGGGCCACGCCCCTCCCCGAAGCGCGCGCGGGGTGGGGCCGAGATCACCTGGCCGCAGCCCAGGGAGCGGCACACGACGGCGGCAGCGGCGAAGTCCCAGGTGTCGTCGCAGACCGTCCCCCAGGCGCCAGCGTGGAGCACCTCGACCCGCCCCACACACTCACCTGGGCCGCCTACCAGGCGCACCTGGGCACCGTCCGACGGCTCTGCACCTGCCAGCAGGGGAGGGGGGAAGGGCACACCTGGTTACCTGTGGGGGGAGCGGTACCTGGCGGCAGGGGGGGGGATTACAGGTGTGAAGTGAATGGGTGACGCCCTAAACCACACCTGAGAACAGCAGGACCCAGGGGAAGGTGGTACCTTGCTGGGGGGAATCACCTGTTCTACCTGCCCCGGCGGGGGGGGGAATCACCTGTACTCCCTGCCCAGGCACCCCGAGCCTCACCTGAGCACACCACACCTGCGGCTCTCCCACCCTCACAGGTGCGCTGGGCCCACGGGCTCGTCCGACACTCCCCGAGGTTCTTCTCCGTCCCTTGGCAGCTCACCTGGTCGAGCCACACCTGCCCAGGTGTGCCGAACTCCGCCCCTCGCAAGGCGGTGCCGCAGCCCAGGTACCGACAGACCACCTGGGCGGCCTCGTGGGACCAGCCCCCGGCACAGACCCCACCCCACCTGTCCAGGTGAAGCAGCTCCACCCGCCCGGCACAGCGGTGGGAGCCGTTGGCCAAGCGCAGGTGAGGCGGCTCCGGGATCAGGGAGTCTGGAAAGACACACCTGGGTGAGGAAGGAGCTCAGGTAACTCCCCCCAGGTGAGCTCCGGGTTGTCCTCACCCCCTCTTCTACCTGGGAAAGGTGGGGGGAACACCTAAGTGAGGCCCAAAACCCCCCCTGCCTGGAGCACAGAGTTACCTGGGGGCCCTGACACTCCTCTCACCTGTCCCCAGAGCTCACCTGGCATAGGTGGAGTGGGAAGGACACAGAGGGGACCTGGGGGTCCTGCCACCCCCCTCACCTGTCCCGGAGCTCACCTGAGCACACCACACCTGCGTCCTCGCCGTGGTAGCAGTCGTTGCGACCCCAGGGCCGGGCGGGGCAGGCGGACAGGTGAGGCTCCGCCCCCGTGCAGTTGGTCTCATCCAACCAGATGAAGCCAGTGCCCCGCCCGAATTGGGCCCTCCCAGGTGCCGACAGGGCCTTCCCGCAGCCCACCTGGCGACAGACCACCTGGGCGGGCCCAGGACACACCTGAGTGTCCTCAGGACCCACCTGAGCATCCTCCAGACTCACCTGAGTACCCCCAGCACCCACCCATAGGATCCACCCGAGCCTTCCCAGCCCCACCTGCCCCTCTCCAGCCTCACCTGACTCCCCTGGGACTCACCTGGGCGTCCACCAGGTCCCAGGTGTCATCACAGACCGTGCCCCACCTGCCGTTGTGGAACACCTCGACCCTCCCGGCGCAGCGGCTGCCGGAGCTCACCAGGCGCACTTGGTCGGCCTCGGGGTTACCTGGGGGGCGGAGGTGGGCACAGGTGGGAGGAGGGAGAGGGTCGAGACACACCTGGAGCACCCTGGTACCTGTCCAGATGCTACCCTGGCACCTTCTCAGGTGCTGAGCCTTGACCAGGTGTGTCCCTAGCACCTCCTCAGGTGCCTCCAACCACCCCAAACACACCTGGACCACCCTTCTCACCTGCCCCACCTGTGGCCACCTCAGGGGGGCCAGGTGAACGCTGAAACCCCCTCCCAGACCCCAAAACAAGGTGGAAACCCCAGATGAGCCCCCTCCAGGTGTGTGTGTGTCCCCAGGGTGCTGCTCACCTGCACAGACCACGCCTGCTGCCCCGCCCAGGTGACACGTGCGATTCTCCCAGGGCTTCACCTGGCAGCCCAGGAGCTCCTGCTCCGTCCCCACGCAGGTGACGCTCCCTGGCCACACCTTCATCTGCCCCCGCCCAAACCAGGAGCCTCCAGGTGCGGAGAGGGCCTGGCCGCAGCCCAGCTGCCTGCAGACCACCTGGGCCTCGGCCAGGCCCCACCCGTGGTCGCACAGGGCCACCCAGGTGCCCCCGTAGGACACCTGCACCTGCCCCTGGCAGCGGGTGGTGCTGTTGGCCAAGCGCACCTGGGTGGGCACTGCCATCCTGGAGGCTGCAACGACACAGGTGAGCTCACCTGGATGGGTTGGGGGGGGCAGGGGGCGGGGGGAGGTGGCAGCAGGTGTGGTCAAAGGTAAGTCCCAAACTCCAGCGGGATGTGGTTCTGTGGTCATGCACCTGAGCCAGGTGAGACCCAGGTGTGCCCCAGGTGTATCCCAGGTGTGCCCAGGTATCCCCGGCTATCCCCAGGTGTGTCCCCAGATGGCCCCAGGTGTGCCCAGGTGAGTTCACCTGAGCAGATGACGCCGGCGTCCTCCCCGTGGAAGCAGTTGTTGTCCCCCCAGGGCTTGGCGGGACATTCCAGGATGGAATTCTCCGTCCCGGTGCAGTTCACCTCGTCCAACCAGATGACATCGTGGCCCCGGCCGAAGTGGGCGTGACCGGGCGCGGCGAGGGCGTGGCCGCAGCCCAGCTGGTGGCAGATCACCTGAGCATCCTGCAGGTCCCAGCCGTCGTCGCAGACCGTGCCCCACCTGTGCAGGTGCAGCAGCTCCACCCGCCCCGAGCAGCGATCGGGGCCCTCCCGCAGCTGCAGGGAGCCCAGCGATGACGTCACCGAGTCTGGGGGGACAGGGGTGACAGGTGAGACAGGTGGGACGGGTAAGACAGGTGGGACAGGTGGAACAGGTGAGACACGTGGGGGAGAAAAGGGGGAGAAACGGGGTAAAAAGGGGAGAAACGGGGGACAAATGTCCTGGACAGGTGAGACAAGTGGGACAGGTGAGACAGATGAGACGGGGGGGAAATTGAGGGAAATCAGAAGGAATCAGGGAAAATTAGGGAAAAATCGAGGAAAATAGGGGAAAACTGGGGGGAAATGGAGGAAAAGTGGGGGGAAATGGGGCAGAGGGAGGAGAAGGCGGGAAGCGCGGGCGGGCGGCCCCTCACCTGCGCACTCGACGCCCACGTCCTCGCCGTGGCCGCAGTTGTGTTGCCCCCAGGGCCGCGCCCGGCACTGCTCCAGGTGCCCCTCGTGCCCCGCACACTTCACCTCGTCCAGCCAGATGGGTCCCTCCCCCTCGCCATACCTGGCGCCGGGGGCGAGCGCCCGCAGCCGCCCGCAGCCCACCTGGGCGCAGGTGACCTCGCCCTCGGCCACGCCCCAGCCGTCATCGCACACGGTGCCCCAGGTGAGGTTGTGCAGCACCTCGACTCGCCCCGAGCAGCCGTCGGGACCCCCCTGGAGGCGCACGGAGACCCCCGGGGGGGACGGGGACACACCTGGGACAGGGAAAGGGAACAGGTGAGCTCAGGGACTGCCCCGGAAGCGCAGGGAGACCCCCCAAAAGGGGGAAATTGGGAAAAGCGGAGAAAAAAAATGGGAAAAGGGAAGAAAAGTGAAAGGAAAATCAGGGGAGAATGAGGGGAAATTGGGAAAAAGTGGGGAATAACGTGGAAAACTTGGGAATATTGGGAAAAACTGTTGGAGTTGAAGGTCCTGGGGCTGGGAAATCACGTGACCGGGCTCAGCCGGGTCCCCAAACAAACCAAAATGACCCAAAATTGCGACTTTGCCCCCAAAAAATCGATGTGGGGCCGAAAAGGGGGAATTTGGCCCCGAGCCCAGGAATTCCTGGGGAAAAAAAAACTAGGGAGAAATGGTGGAAAATCATGTTTTTCATGGGTTTTTAAGGGAAGGGGCAGGGGAGAATGTTGGTTTTGGGGCAAATCCTTTGATTTCAGGGTAAAATCCATCAATTTGGGGCAAAAGATGCCAATTTTGGACTAGAATTCTTTGACACAGGGCAAGACGTCAATTTTGGGTCAAAATATGTCGATTTGGGGGCAAAATATGTTGATTTTGAGGTAATATTTAATTTTGGGTCAAAATCCTTCAGTTTTAAGTCAAACCCCTCCAGTTTTGGGTCAAAATCCTTCAATTCCAGGTCAACCCCCTTCAATCTGGGGGCAAAATCTTTCTGGTTTGGACCAAAACCTTCACTTTTGGGTCAAAATCCTTCAATTTTGGGTCAGAATCCCCCAAACTGGGTCCCCAACCCCCCCGGACCCACCATGATGTCACTCACCGCACAGGTACGTCACGGCCAGGAGGGTCCTCAGCGCCGCCCCCCTCCAGGTGAGGGGGTCCCCCCTGGGGAGGGTCCGCTGCCCACCTGAGCCCCCCATCCCGGCCCAGGTGAGCCGGTCCCAGGTGGGGGGGAGGGGAGGGGTCCCGGCATTCAACTGGGAGGGCGAACTGGGGTGGCCCCTCCCGCCCTGGACCTGCGCCAGGTGTCCAGGTGACCCTTTCCCCCCCCCCGGTGACCCCGCGGTTGCATCAGCGGCTTTTCCAGGAAGAAAACCGGGACAAACCCAGGAGGGTCCAGAGGTTCCCCCTCCCCCACCCCCGGCACGCAGAGGGGGCACCTGAGGGGGCCGCACCTACTTCGGGGGGGCAGGTAAATCCCACCTGGGGGGCTCAGGTGTGTCTCAGGGTCCCTAAAACCGCTGGGGGGGAGGCTCAGATGTGTCTGGGGGCCCCCAGGTGTGTCTGGGGGGGGCTCAGGTGCGTCTGGGGGTTCCCAGGTGCGACTGGGGGGGCTCAAGTGTGGGGGAACTCAGGTGTGGCAGGTCCTTAAAGCACTGGGGGGGGGGCGTAGGTGTGTCTGGATGTTCCCAGGTGTGTCTGGGGGTCCACAGGTGTGTTGGGGGGACTCAGGTGTGACTGAGGGTCCTCAGGTGTTGGGGGGGCATTCACCTGTCCAGGACATACCTTCTCACCTGTGCAGGATACACCTTCTCACCTGTGACGTCACCTGTTCTGGATAAACATTCTCACCTGTGCAGGCCACACCTGTGCCCACCTCAGCCCCTGCTGGGACCTCAGCTGTGCCCAGGTGTGCACTCCCGACATGAGGCTCCTTTACCTGAAGAGCCACCTGGGGCTGCTCCTCTACCTGTCCCTGAGCGGTGAGTGGGGAGGACACAGCTGGGGGGGGACAGCTGAGGTGGGGACACACCTGGACATCGGGAGACACTTGGACTTTGGGGTCACACCTGTCCCTGGGGTCACACCTGGACTTCAGGGTCACACCTGAGACACACCTGACCCCCTCCACACCTATCCTGACTCTCCTCTTGTTCTCTCCCCGCCCACCCAGGTCCCACCCTGGCCCCGCCCTCACCTGTCCCGCTGCGCCTGGCGGGCGGCCCTGGGCGCTGCGCGGGGCGCGTGGAGGTGCTTTACCTGCACAGGTGGGGGACGCTCTGCGGCCACACCTGGGGCCTGGCCGAGGCTCAGGTGGTCTGTCGCCAGGTGGGCTGTGGCCCCGCCCTGTCGGCACCAGGCGGGGCCCACTTCGGGCAGGGGGAGGGGCCAGTGTGGCTGGACCGGGTCACCTGCACAGGCACTGAGGGCCACCTGGGCGAGTGCCAGGTGGGGCCCTGGGGAGAGGCCAGCTGTGAGCACGGCGCTGACGTGGGCGTGGTGTGTGCAGGTGAGGTGGGTGGGGCTTGGGGAGGGGTGGGTGGGGGCTCAGGGAGGTGGGGAAGGGGGGGTTTACCTGGCTGGACCTATCTGTGACCACACCTGAGCCCAGGACCCTCCCAGACTCATCTGTTGGCCCCAGAACACCTTTCTCCACCCCATCACTGACCTAAACCCACCCAGAACCCCTTTTCCTGCCTGAAGCCACACCCCAGCCACACCTGGAGCCCCGCCCAGGTGCGCCACACCTGTCCTGCCCCGCAGGTGCGGAGGCGGCGTCGCAGCTCCAGGTGCGCCTGGCCAACGGCTCCAGCGCCTGCGCGGGGCGTGTGGAGCTGTTCCGCGAGCACAAGTGGGGAACCGTCTGCGACGACACCTGGGACCTGCAGGACGCGCAGGTGATCTGCCGCCAACTGGGCTGCGGCCACGCCCTCGCCGCGCCCGGCCACGCCCACTTTGGCCGGGGGGCGGATCCCATCTGGCTGGACGGCGCCCACTGCACAGGTAGGGAGCAGGAGCTGGTGCAGTGCCAGCTGCACACCTGGGGTGAGCACGACTGCAACCACGGCGAGGACGCGGGCGTGGTGTGCACAGGTGAGGCGCAGGTGGGCGCAGGGGAGGCGGGGGGGGACTGTGGGGTGGGAGGGGGGAGCGGGAGGGGCGGTGGGCTCAGGTGTGCTCAGGTGTGGGGCTGGAGGGGGTCTAGGGGGTGCTCAGGTGGGTCCAGGGGGGATTCTCAGGTGTGCTCAGGTGTGTGCCCCTCCCTCGCAGGTCCCAGCCCCCTGCAGGTGCGGCTGCGGGATGGCCCCGGGCCCTGTGCGGGGCAGGTGCAGGTGCTGCACAACCACACCTGGCTGGGTGTGTGCGGCCGCACCTGGAGCCTGCTGGAGGCACAGGTGGTGTGCAAGGAGTTGGGCTGTGGCCCCGCCCTCAGCGCACCTGTCGGCGCTCACCTGGCCCCGGGGGCGGCGCTGGAGGGTCTCACCTGTCGGGGCTCTGAGATGCTGCTCCTGGAGTGCCTGAGGGAGGGGGCGGGGCCAGGCACCTGCCACGCAGGTGGGGCTGCCCGAGTGGCCTGCGAGGAGCTGGAAGGTGAGGCACCTGTGGGTACCTGTTCTCACCTGTCCTCACCTGTCCGTCATCATCTGTCCCCTGTGCTCACCTGTCTCACCTGTCTCACCTGCAGACCTGCTGGGCTCCTGTTCGGTGCTGGAGGGGCTGCTGGGGGTGGTGGTGGGGCTCTGCGGGGTCCTCCTGGGGCTCTACCTGTGGGCTAGGTGTGCCGGGCGGGGCCGGCGCTTCACAGGTAAGGCCGGGGGGAGGGGCAGGGTCTCCCCACAGACCCCCCCAAACCCCCCCCGACCCCCCAAACCCCCTCCCAAGACCCCCAAAGCCCCCCCAGGAGCCCTCAACCCCCCTAAAAAACCCTCCCAAGCCCCTCCAACCCCTCAGGATCCAATAGGAGACCACAGGGACCCTCCAACCCCCTCTCAAACCCACCAAAACCCCCTGCAAAACCCCTCCCAAGACTCCCAGGACCCCCTAAGAACCCCCAACCCCCCCAAACCTCCCCCAAATCCCTCCCACTCCCCCCAAGACCCCCCTAAACCCCTCCCAAGACAACCAAGTCCCCCCAAGACCTCCCTGACCCCCTCATATTTTGCAGACAAGCCCCTGCTCCAGATGCCAGAGGAAGCCGGGACCTCACTTGAGCCATAGGAGACCCCCCCAGAATCACCTGGGACCAGCCCAAAATATCTTGGGATCCCCCAAAAATACCTGGGACCCCCCTAAATCACCTGGGACCCCCCCCCAAATGACCTGGGACCTCCACATACCAAAAAATACCTGTGACCTGTTCTAGGGGTCTGTTGGTCTTTACTGGGGGATACTGGGGCTGTAGTGGAAGGATACTGGGGCCATACTGGGGGCGTACTGGAGGGGGGCCACTGGGGCCACACTGGGGATCTGTAACCCCCCCTAAAATACCTGTGACCCTCTCAAAACACCCATGACCCCCCTCAAAACAGCTGTAACCCCCTAAAATACCTGTAACGCCCTTAAAATAAAACCCAGAAAAACCCGGTAAAAACCAGTAAAATCTCCCAAAATGCGACGGTGGGGGCGTGGCCTGGACGGAGGGGGCGTGGCCTCCGCCGCTGTGCGTTCAGGGTGGGGCGTGGCCTCGTGAGGGAGGGGGCGCGGCCTCGTGAGGCGGCGCGGCCCGGTCGCTGCGCGGTGGCGGCAGCGGCGGGTCCGGCCCTGCCCCGGCTCGGGCCCCGGAGGAGCCTCCGAGATCCCGGCCCTGCCCCGGCGGGTGAGCGAGAACCGGGGGGAGGAGGAAAAGGAGGAGGAGGAGGAGGAGGAAGCGGCGGGGCCGCGGCGGCGGCGCTTGCGCGGGGAGGGGCCTGGGGGGGGAAGGGGAGGTGACTCTGAGGGGAGGACGGGGCGGGGCCCGAGGCGAGAGGGCGTGGCATGGCGGGGCTCGCGCGCGGCGGGGCCTGGAGAGGACGGGGCGGGGCTTGAGTGGGCTCGCGCGGGGCGTGGGCGTGGCCTGAGGGGACGGAGGGGGGGACGGAGGGTTTCTGGTCACGCCCCCCTGTGTTGGCCACGCCCCCTATGCGCTGTCTCTGTGTGTGTCCCCCCACCTTCCGTACTGGGTCTCACCTGTCCCTGTGTCCCCCTATGCCAGGTCTGGAGTCCCACCTGCCCCCCGTGTTTCAGGTTTGGAGTCTCACCTGCCCCCAGTATTTTATGTCTGAGATCTCACCTTCTTCCTGTCTCCCCCTCAGGTGTGACCATGGCGGGCACTGCCCCCGCTCCAGGCGTCCCTGAGCATCCCTTCACCTGCCGGGAGTGTGGGAAGTCGTTCCGCTGGTCATCCCGCCTGTCCCACCACCTGCGCAGCCACACTGGTGAGCGGCCCTACAAGTGCCCCGAGTGCCCCAAGGCCTTCAAGGGCTCCTCCGCCCTCCTCTACCACCTGCGGGGCCACACAGGTGAGCGGCCCTACACCTGCGCCACCTGCGGCAAGGCCTTCAAGCGCTCCTCGCTGCTCCAGACTCACCTGAGGGTGCACACGGGCATCCGGGCCTTCGAGTGCGCCCAGTGCGGCCTCACCTTCAAGTGGGCGTCGCACTACCAGTACCACCTGCGGGCGCACACGGGCGAGCGGCCCTACCGCTGCCCCGTCTGCCCCAAGGCCTTCAAGAACTCATCGAGCCTGCGGCGGCACCGCCACACCCACACAGGGGAGCGGCCCCACACCTGCAGCACCTGCGGGAAGGGCTTTGCGCAGGCGGCCAACCTGCGGCAGCAC